TAGACACAAGGTTCTTGAGTTATGGTGAACATTAGTGACAGACACGATACAGACACTATTCTCTCACTTCTGAAGAATATGTATAAGGTTTTTCATACATAATTTATCTTACTTCTGAGAGAGAATTATGATGTATGGTCACAAGTGAAAGAGACAACCAATCTTCAAAGGTTTGAATTTTATTTGTCCTAGTTTATTTTACAATAAAGTGTCATACTCTAAATATTTTGGTCCCGTCTTTGAGAAGGCGGATAATGGAGAATAAAGTGACTACAGTGTAAGAAACTTCAGTAAGTTTGGTTCAAGTATGTAAGAATGGTTGTTTTCATTATGAATTGGAATTGCTTTTGTACACAGTGAAATTATTGTCTAAATTGTCCTCCAAATGCAATTTGTTAGAGTGCAGGCTCCAAGAAATACTCCAAACTGTCAATAATACATGGGCAATGGAACTTAAAACCCATCTGAATTTTCTAATGTATATCATAGCAATATTCAGAACACACCTTCCAGTTTAGCATTGTTGAAGGAATCCATTGTTCTTGGCAAGGGCGGGGGGAAAGAGAGAAAGAGATAAAAATATAAAAGGCTATTTTTTTCCCCCCCCAACGTATGTGGTGGACTTAATCATCCATATTTAAAGAGGAATATATATTACTTGTCTGAGGCATATCATCAATATGTAATGAGGCCAGAGCAGAGATATAAAGTTTCAGTCAGGGAAGTAGAAGTCAGGGGACCATTCATCCACTGAACAGGCATTACCTGAAAATCAGGCCAGTGCAGCACCTAGGCCCAGACAGAATAATTTTCACCTGATCTGGCCCCAGAAAGCAGCCTATAGCTGTGACCAAACAGAAGTGCATGACTGCAGACCACTTTTTTAGGGCCTGGTTCCATGAAAATCTGAACCCTCATTGCAGGAGGGTTAAAATGAACATGCTGCAAAATGGAGTGCATTCTGTAACTTGTGTCTGTGGAGCTCCCATCCTGTTGCTGTTTTCAGAATGGACATTGGCTGAAACCCCACCCAGAAAACTCCCTCCATGCTTTTTCAGAATGGGAGGTAAGGAAAAGGAATCTCAGCTGGGGGCGGGGGGGGGGAGGGGTTGCTATGGAGACAGAGTTGCAGGCTTCCAGCAAGCAGCTGGAATCTCCAACTACTGGACCCAAAAGTTAACTTCTGTTGGGCCTGGGGGATAGTTGCAACTCATAGCACTTCCTGTAAAGCAATGCTAGTTGCAACATGGAGCTGCTCTTCTGTCTGTACCCACCTTTTTCACAGCTGGACTGAGTGAGGCAATTAAGGCTGCTGATACGCTGCACCCACAGCCCTTAAAAGCCAGGCCCAGGCCACAGAATCCTTATGGGGGGGGGGGGGGCATGAATGTAAATTGGGGGGGTGGGGGGCGAGAAATGAAATTTCTTATTTCTGATCCCATGTCTGCTTCCTTGCTAGTTCTTTGGTTTTAACTCCAGCTTCTGATAGAACTCCTGGAATCCCCCAATTCCAGTTTTATGCTCTGGATTCTTGTTTGCTCTCTGGCTCTGACTATTGGTTTCTGATTGGGTTAATCCCTCAGCTTACCCCGCTTCCTGCTGTGACTCTTCATTCTAGGCTATATTGCTTTCCATCTGGCTCACAGATCCAGTTCTGGTAGCAGATCATTCTGTGCCCTCAACTCTTGGGAAGTCCAGCTCTTGGGAACCAGACCTAAACCGCACCCATTCTTCAGCTGTTTAACCACTAGGCCAAACCACCCATGCTCCAGTCCCTAACAGTATTTCATTTCGTTTTTTGTTTTCTTTTTTTAAGAGATGCCTCAAGGTAGGGGAACATCCTCATTTCAAACAATGCAAAGGACTTTTATAGCATAAAAGAAATAAGCTGGAAGAGGCCTAGGTATAATATGAATGTTTTGTGCAAAGAATCTGGATAACAAATAGGGACAATTAAATTGCTCTGTCTTTCCTAAAGGACATTAAATTTACCAAATGATCCCATGATGACTTTCTGGAAAGCCTGGTTTAGTGAGTCTTTATTGCTGAATACTCCAGGAGATGGAAACTCCATGGCTTCTTCTGGTATTTTGTTTCACTAGTTGCCTACTCTTCTGGTTAAATTTCTGCTTCATTTGCTATTGAATTTGATTAAATGCCATAGGTTCTTGTTATGATTTCTTTGGCTAGAATAACCAGATATTAAAAGTTTCTTTTAGTTCTTTGAAAGTACTTTGGCATTGCCATCAAGTCATTTCTCAAGGAACTTTCAGATAGAGTGCAAGCTGCTCCAGCTCTGGCCCGTCTCTTACTAAAGACACTTCCCCTTCAGCCTTTATATTTTTGTGGTTGCAACTCTATTTGTTCCACTTAAATTCTATATAGGATTCTAGTATTGGTTTAATCAATTCTGCATACAGAAGCAAAATCACCTTGCTACTCCTTCTTACAGACAAGATCTACATTAGCCCCCTCTTTCACAGTATCAAAACTAGAATCTCACATTCAATTGTTTGTTTACTATCTTTTCAAAGTCACTTTTTTACAATATATGGTCCTCCATATATTTAGCCTAAATTACTAAACCCAACTTTGATTTTTTTTTTGTTCTGTATTAAAATGCCTTTTGTTTTAAATTGCCATATATATATATGATCCAGACTGCTCTCTCTTGCTGCCATATTATTTACATACTGTCAATCTATGTACAATCCACCAGTTATCAGCTTTTCCCCCCACCAATTTTCAATATATTATTTAACACTAGGCTTACACCTACTCAATGATTTATAGATCCAGTGTCAGACAGTAGTATGCCTCCTCTTGAGCAGGATTTGATCTTTTATAGGGTGAAACACAGCAGTAGTACATGCAGTTATCAAATCATGAGTCAAGTGCATGTATTTTATTACACAATTCATGCATACATGAGCACACGCATGACGGATCATCTGGCTCTTATTTCATACATCACCAGTACCAACCTTCCCCCCCCCCCCCCCACCAAAAAAAAACATTATAGAAAAATCACCAGTACCAACCTTCCCCCCCCCCCCGCAACTGATAAAAATATATATAGTAATAAAACTCTTGTGCTGGTGCACTTAAATGCAAGATAGGAGTAGCAGATTCTAGTTATACCTTTTCATTAGACTTTATGCCACCAAGACCATTTGTGGACCCTTTGCTGAAGAAAGATTTTAATAATGTTTCCAATGTCCCCAAATAATAAAATGGTCCTTTTAGCATGCCCTAGGCAAATTAAATATTGATTTATTTTAGGAAACCATTTGTTTTTAAATTGAAATTATAGTTTATTTGCTCAGAAGCTAGTAACATGATCATGAATATTTTTAAGACAATGCTTAGCCTAAACAAAACAGCTCATAATTATACTACTATATTCTTCAGAGTCCAAGACTCCCATGTAAAATCAGGGGTGAAACATATAATAAACCCAACTACATCTTATGTTACTGATAACGTATAGAGCTTATTTTAGCTATCCAAGATAATGCTGTGAATCACCCGTTTTTACCCCTGGACTATATTCAACTGTATATTAGTGATTTTCCCAAATCACTGGTGCTATTGTGATATTTCAAGTCAGCTTTAAGTTACAGGTTTCTGAGTATTATCTTAAGCCTTTACAGGACATCTTTTGTGAATTTTATCTGTTGGATTTCACAAAGCATATGTTTTCAGTCTAATGCACAATCTTGTTAGTGAAACTAATTTACAGAGCCGATTTCCTTACCCTAAGGCACTTAGATAGTGATCTAATGCCATAGAGGGCACCCATATAAACTTGTTTCTAATTTCTTCTTTCAAGCTTCTCTCTTCCCTGTGTGGATTATAGCTGCCTGTAGGTATAGTACCAAAACACTGAAAATGGGAATCGTCGTAATAACTTGAATTGCAAAGTACATACCAAATGTCCAGTTATATGGAGTTGGGGTGATGCTGTAGCTATGATGGTCCAGGAAAATGTGAAAGGCAAAGATTTTTGTGGATGATACTTTTTATTGGATTAACCACATAGTTGAGAGGGACAGAAGGGTGCTTCGTACCCAAAAGATTGTCTATATCCCTCCCAGCAATACAGGTGATGCAATAGAAAAAGATACCAGCCACAAATCTTTGCCTCTCAAAGTCACAGGCATTTAATTGGCCAAATAAAAAAAAAAACAAACAAACAAACAAAAAAAAAACGGCCACACCTGGAACCTACAACCTTATTTGCCACAGACCCTTTGTATCTTTTTACATAATTTCTCTTTGCATGGTGTTTTTTCAAGAATGTAACCACTGTGTGAATCGAGGCCTGACTATACACAGATGTAACCAGCCAACACACCTGATGTAACCAGCCAACATATGAATGTGAGGCTGTCCCTAAACTTTAGAACTGAGTTTGTATTTGAACCTTTGTGATCTTTGATGTGTGAAATCTAGACTTCAAGTTAAAACATACCTGGACAATTTTCTCACCATTGTCCCTCATCTTACTCTAGCCTGCTCCCTACCAAGCAATTATTCACAAACTTCAACAATCAAAATAAATGCTACTTCTGGAGTTATACTGTGTATTTTATAAGAAATACTCTTAATAACTGATAATGTCTTCTTGCTTTTAAAAATGAATAGATGTATTGTAATAGCAAAAAGGAATAGAAAGCAACAACATTTACATTTCCAGTCAAGCACAAGCCAAAGAAAGTAATCAATTTAGGTTAGTGCGGGTTGCTATAATAAGTGCCGGTACATTCTGTATATTATGAAAATCTCATTTAAGGAATTCTCTTATTCCTTAAGTGATTTGTCGTTGTACAAGGAATGCATCCATTTTAATGGATTTTCAGTTAATGGACAGCAAGGATTGAAGATGCAAAAATATGTTTTCATTATTTTCTGCTGACTCTTAAGTTATGCTTCAGTTTATTAACAACTGGTAAACCATTACAAACTGGTAGTCATTTCATTCTCAGATGAATACTTACTAGCGATGCTGTCTGTAGTTTTGGTGGCTTTCCAGTCAGTAGCTGCAGATTTCCCCCCTTGTTTCCCTTTCTGAAATAAAACAGTCTCTTACAAAAGTAACTCTTGTCAATGGAAATTTATGTAAAGGAAAATGAAAAAGCAGGAGCTGCATAAGGAGTTGTCTTTTTGGAAAATTATCATAAATAGCCATAGCAAGTGACAGTTCATTTCTTTCGTTGCCTTCCAACCCATTTCTTCTCCTTCTATTATTATGGCAGGGGGGGGGGAAAAAAAAAAAAAAAAAAAAAAAAAAAATCTCCCTTAAATACAGAAAAATGACCTTTTTTCCAGGAGCATATTTCTGCCAAGAAATACAATTTTACGTTAAATAAAACCATCCCCACAATCAATAACAAATTGTTTGAAATTGATATTTTTTTTTTTTTTTTTTTGGCCAAAAAAAAAAAAAAAAAAATATCAATCTCATTTCAAAAATCTGTCTCGACTTAAAATAAATGAATTCTGTTCTCAAAACACAAACAAAAATAAAATGCTTTTCATTGGGTGAGACAAAAACAATTTAGCCAACTGAATTACAGTCCTTAAAAAAAAAAAAAAAAAAAAAAAACCCAAACAAATACACCTCCCCCCCCAAAAAAAGAGGAAAAAATATTCCAGAATGACCCAAAACAAACCTTTTTTTTTTTAATCCGTCTAGAAATTATCTGCTCAGATCTCCTCATTTATCACCTTGCTAGTTTGACGTGGCCTTTCATTAGTGATGATAGATAATAGATTTCACGATCTTGTTATATAAGAAAGGTAGGCCACAAAAATTTTAGACTATTAAAGTCAGTTATTAAAACTAAAAAGGAGTGTCCTGATTAAGTTTAAATGATTTTCCTCAAGTATTAATTTCTTTTTAAATAATACTTAAGTAATATTTTATGTATTTATTTATAAATGTTAAAACAAGTTAGTTACAAATAGAAGTATATCTTGCAAAATAGAAACCCTCAGGCTTGGAAGCCATAATTCTAGTGTTTTCCCATTAGTGATATTTCTATCACATATCACAATGTAGGGCAAAGTTCTCATTTCTGTGGATGCAAGTCTGAAGTAGTAGATATTTAAAGAATACATCTGCCAAGATTGTAACTTCATTTATATAGGTGTAAATCTACTCATGTAGATTTAGTGGTAGACCCAAAATCAGAATGCAGCCCTTTATCAGAATCCATCATCACCACCTAAAAGCTTCTGCATTTCTACCACTATCTCATGGTCCAGGGGTAGGCAAATATTTGGGCCTGATGGCCACATGGGCATTTTCAGTGACTTGCTGCAAGCTGGGTCAGCATACCCCTCCCCACAACAACTCACCAAAACTTCCTCTGGGGCTTCAGGCAGCATTATTCAGGAACAAGAGGGGCAGGCAAGGTTGGGATCGTGGGGCTGGGTCACAGGGCAGCGACAGCTCTGGCTCAGGGCCTGCTCCCTGCACACTCCTGGGGAGGAGGGCTGTTTGGGTGGTACAGTCCATGCTTCCCCTGTGATGCTCTGCATGGACATGAGCCCTGCTTGCTTATGCCGGGGCAGCCCAGGTCATGATCCCACCAGCATCTGTGGCTGAGCCCAGCTGGCTACCATTCTGCTCCCTCTGCCTCCAGTAGTAGCTCCTGCCACACCATGCCAAGCAGCTTCTGGTGGGACTGTTCTCAGTACGACTGCAGCTGGCCAGAAGCTGAAGCTGCCCACCCACCCAGCCTCCCAGTGGTGTGGCATGGCAGGAGCAGGTTCTGGCAGTGCAGCTCAGTGCCAGCCAGGTGATACTCTGTGCTTTCTACCTCCAGCAGCAGCTTCTGAACCTGCTTCTGCCACACCTTGCTGCTTCCAGTGGGCAGGTGGGCCGGCAGCTTCAGCCAGGCAGCTCCTTCCCCAGTGTGATCCAGCTCAACTGGAAGGTGGATGGGAGCTGAAGCCAGAGCCCCATGCACTGGGGCAGAATCCTCCTGGCTGAAGCTGCCTGCCCCCTTGCCCAGAATGATGAGGTGTGGTGCAGCATGGCAGAGGCAAGATCAGGAGCAGGAGCTGCCACTGGAGGTGAGGAAGCAGAAGCACCCAGCTGCAGCCACTGCAGAAACAGCCCTGCTGGAAGCTACACATGCTGGCTGGGGCCTTGCCACAAGTGCTGGTGGGAGTTGCCCAGGTTCAGACCGTCCCAGCATGAGTGGGCTGGGCTTGGCCCGATGTGGAGCAGTGTGGGGGCAGCTGTGGGCTGGATCCAGTCACTTGGCTGGTCCCACCTGGTCTGCGAGCCATATTTTGCTCCCCCCTACCATAACCGCACCAGGGAATCTTATGTGTTGAACACAATCATAATCAAGATATCCTATAGGTCAAGACTTCATCTGTGTTTCTGTGACATGGACCAATATTCTGGAGAGAATAGTGTTTAGGTCATATTCATTTGTGACCACTATTAGATAAAATCTGAGTCAACACAAGGATGCTATGCTAGCAAATTTGCATTAATCTATTGTACCTTGTTGTTCTCAGACCCATAAACATGGCTAATTTATGGACTCCTTAAACATCTCAGAGTTTCTAATTTTATATGTACTAGAGGATGCAAATTTTAATGTCACTTTGTTTTGTTTGCTTTACAATGAACATTATGCATTCAAGTAACTTATTTTTCTAATGAGGTAATTATTGGAACTAGAACATTACAGCCAAATGTAGCCAAGCAAAGTGAATTAATCATCTTTGGCTGTATGCTTACTTAAATAATGGGATTATGGGAGACCATGCTCCCAGTGGATATCACAAGATATTAGAGATATTCAAAATACTAAAGAGAAAATAATATTTCTGCCCATTTGTTTTAATTGACCCTAAAAGTGATATGGTGTTTTATACATAGAGAAGACACTCAAATGTGTGCTTTTGCACATGTAAACACATGGTATGTTTCTCCATTGTAGCCTCATAGTTTACTATACCTAATGTGTCCTTAATTTTTTTATGGTGTCAGATATGAACTTCCAAATAAAAGAGAGACTTTCTGGTATTATTGCTGAATGTACAGATTCCATCTGCCCCATCTGGGCATTTGGAAAAATTGCAGCTTTCAATTAAATGCTGACCTATTTGTCGGACACAACATTCATTCATTGTACACACAACAGGATTTTTGAGCTAATGGCTAAATATAGATAGTCAAAAATCCCAAGGCTGATCTGATTTAATATTCACAGGTTTCTCTGAACTGCATGGCCTGAACCGATAATTAAGTGAACTGATGTGCACATTTGAATTTAGAAAGGCAGCTAAATACCAGCAGTCAGGGTATATCCAGAGCATATCTCCCAGCCTGCCATCCACTGCCAAGGGCAACCAAATGCAGCCAAGTTGGGCCCATCACTGGCTGGCTGCCCAGCATATGCTCCCCAATTCCTTGGTCTCTAGCATGGGAGGTGAGGGACAGGACAGACAGCCACTCCCACCTGGGGCCCAGATGATGCAGGGCTTCAGCCCATGTTGGGGGATCTCCATGCCTCAGCAGGGGTTACTTACCCCAGGAAGGGTCCCCCTAGCCATGCCAGAAGGTTACTTCCCCCCTCCTACCACACAACACTGGCTTAAACCCACCCCCACATCAGTCCTCATGGGGGACTCCCCATGCCCCATCAGGGGTTCCCAACCCCAGGCAGAGTCCACTGAGGCCTGCTACTAGTGCACAGAGGGAATTTCCCTCTCCCACCCCTCCATGAAGTCCAGTGATGACTTAGCTCTACCCCACAGGTGCAGTGGGGAATACTCCCTCCAGTCTGGAGTCCAGCTGGCACTCTGCATCAGCCCACATGGGGAGATTCCTGTACCTCAGCAGGATGATTTCCCATCCTGGGCTGTGTCCCCCAAGCCCTGCTGATGGTGTAGAGGGGGAATTCCCTCCTCCCACCCCCATGTGCCATCCCATGCTGGAATGACCCTGAGCTGGAGGGACTGTTCCCTCTGCATCTGCTGGGGTGGGTGGGGGAAGCCATTATCAGAAAATGTGGAGGAATGGGAGGGGGAAAGTTACTCTCTTGAACTGGCAGTAGGACTCAGTGGACCCTACCTGGGGCAGAGAACCCCCCACCGAAGCACGGGGAAACTGCCACCACTCACCCGAGGGCTTATGCAGTGTGTGTTGGAGGGACTCTTCCTCCCCCTGCATCTGCGGAAACATAGTTAAGCCAGTGCTGGACCATGCTGAGTGGTGGGAGGGGAAAATTATTTACCCTCTGGACTGGTGTAAGGGATTGGGGAACCCTGGTGCAGCAGGGTAACCCCCCCTGAAACTTGGGGATCTGGAACAGCCCAAGGCTGCAGAGACTGTTCCCACCTGCACAGTGACTGGCACAAGTCCAGGTGGGGGAAACCCTTATATACCAGGGATCAGAGCTGAAGGTGGGGGTGGGGCTCTGTTCCCATGACCCCCCCCCTCCCTGCCTCATCCCACCAGGCTGACAGGTGCAGGCAGGACCAGGGCTGCAGAAGAGAGCCTTTGCTGCCTCTGCAATGTGACAGCACAGGGGTGAGACCTGCCCTGCTTGTCTGGAGCAGACAGTGCTGGCCAAGGAACCCACTCTGCAATGGGGAGTTTGTAGGGGAGCTAAAAAGCATCCTGGGATGTTGGGGGACTGAGAGTTAGCTGGAGTAGGGAAGGGATCTAGGAAAGAAGTGAAATAGACTGATTTAACCCAAAATCATTTATGTTTGATACTACATTCATTCAGATCCATCTTAAACTGTTTTTTGGCTATTTTGAAACCAGTTGCTGTGCACTGAACTTCTATTCCATTACAGATTTAAACCAGTTTCCAGTCACTTAAACCAGTGTGTGTTTAATGTCTGTCCTTAGGCAGTTGGATATTAAACCAATGCCATAAGATTGGTAGGGACCACAGAGGTCACTCAAATCTAGTCCCCTGCTTTTACAGACATCATCATACAACTCCCTTTCAAAAAATTGAAACTCCATCTTAAGCTAGTCATGTTTTTTTGTTTTGTTTTGTTTTTGCCCCTACCCCCACAACCATGAT